GTCGGGAAATTTCATGCCCCTTACCATAGTAAGGCTGCGAGCTTCAGTGTAAATATTGAGTCAAAATCAAATCAATTTGAGCATGATTTAAACCCGGATGATTGTAACCAAGTTCGTCTGCCTTGGGAAAGCTAGCGCGTCTCCGACATAGTGATAACACTCGTTGCCTTCTCTAGTGCAGCTCAACCAGGTCTCGTCCCATTCTTCGATATTTGTGATATCACAAATCCCGGAAAATATGTGTTGTAGTCCAAACGAGTTGTTTGTTGTAGTTTGTGAAAAGTGATTTCTGTTAAATCAAATATCTCCTTTTGAAGTGGACTTTGAGCTTTGTAACTTTGCAGATCTTTTTTATGCTCAAACAGCAACATTACAGACTAACTAAAGTTGAAAAAGTGAAAAAGCATAATAGGACTCCTTTAAGATGTGCTACTTTTGAAGACATTTAATATCAAAGTTTGAAAATGTGCTATCAGCTTGCATTGTTAAAACGTTTTGCATTCAGTGAGTAACCAACAATGGTTGACTGTGGTTGCAGTTATTTTTTCATGCTTTTTTTGCTTACTGAATTGTGACGGTTCTTAAATGAAAAAGGCTTACCTAAAACAAAATTTTGCTGCTTTAGTGAACACTGACATTTTCTTTATAAAATCTATATAACTTCAGGTATAGAAATGTGAATTTTCTAGAGTTAATGACACTGTGCAGTGGCTGTGCTTGTGTTGGTGTCTCTTGTGTGTATTGGTTTGTGCTGTGTTTGGGAATATGAATCCGCAGGGCTTTCCCTCCAGGAATGAATTTATGAGGGTAGTGTCTATTATTAGTGTTGGTCCACCGACTTAATCCCTCTTGCGCAATGAAAGTCAACAGAGGCTTTTCAGTGTGAGCTTTCTATATCAAAATCTTTTCAGTATGTTTGGGGCAATAAATTTGGCTAGATGCCATTTATACTATAGGTCTGAAAAGAAAGCTTGATTTCTTGGTCCTCTTTGAGGCCACAGGGGTCTGCAAACAATCTGCTGTGGGCTCCTCCTCCACAGCTTTATTTAAGGGTGGAATGTGAGTGGAATTTTCCACAGTAGACTATATACAAACCTCTGAACAAATCATGATGACTCTCTAGAAAACCTCCCAGTTTTGTTTAGAAACGGCAGGGATGACAAATTGAACACATTAACCACTACTAAAGCTCAAGTACACAAACAGCATTTATTTGAAATAGAAATAATTTGTAACATTATAAATGACTTTAATGTTACTTTTGATCAATTTCATACATTCTTTCTGAGCCCAAACTTTTGAATGGTAGTGTATCATGGTTTCCACAAAAATATTAAGCAACACATCTGTTTTCAACATTGATAATTATAAGAAATGTATCTTTAGCAGCAAATCAGCATATTAGAATGATTTCTGAAGGATCATGTGACACTCAAGACTGCTGAAAACT